GGTCGGTCAGCGAGGCCCAGGGGGCGGGAGGACATGCCACCGGGAAAAGGGCGGGAGGGGCCGGCCGGCCAGCCGGCGGACGTACTCTCCGAGGTGCCGGGCACGATGACGCGAATGGCCCCGGAGGGGGAGATATCGGTGACGGTGGAGGTCAGGAGCGGGGCCCGGGGGCCGGCAGCCGGGCGGGGCCCGGCGGAACTGGCCGCCGGCGCCGGCGACCCGGCCGCTGACGTGGCCCCGGCCGGCGTGGGGGCCAGGACCGGGGACCCGGGGGCCGCGGCCGGCGATCCGGCCGCCGACCCGGACAGCAGCGCCTGGAAGAGGCGCCGGTCCAGGCGATCGGCCACGCGTGCCCGGCGCCCGGCCAGGGCAATTTCCTCCTCGGCGGCGGCTTGGGCCTCTTCCTGTTCGCGGCGGCGCCGGTCTTGGTGCGTGGCCACCAGCTGGCGCTGGTGCTGGTCCGGGGTCAGGGCGGTGGGCACCGTGGTGGTGACGGGCGCGGGCGCGGGCGCGGGCGCGGGCGCGCCGGCCGTGGTGGCCGCCAGATCGCCAGATGGCGATGGGGGTCCGCCGTCCGGCGGGGCGCCCCCGGTCCCGAGCAGCCGCCGCCAGAAGGTCTTCTTTGGGTGGTGCTTGGCCACATCGGGCGAGGAAGGTTCGGTGTTGGCGTTGGCGTTGGCTTTGGCGTTGGTGGTAGTACTGGCGTTGGTGGTGGTGGTGGTGGTGCTGGCGGTGACGGTGATGGTGGGGCTGGCGGTGACGGTGATGGTGGGGCTGGCCGATGCGGAGGGCAGGGCCGGGGCCGGGGGCGGAGGCGACACTGCAGGCGAGCTCGCTGGGCCGGGCTGCGAGTGCGACGGCGGCTGCGGGTGTGTGTGCGGCGGGGCTGACAGGGCAGCCGCCGGGTGCGCAAGCATCTCCGACGGTGGTGAGGGGGGCCCCAGGGACGGGGCCGACGCCGGGCCCGGCGCGGCACCGGCCGTGACCAGGCTCGGCGGCGACGGGCCCATGAGGTGGCTCCGGGGAGGGCCGAGAGGGAGCTTGGGCGATGGGGGGAGACGTGCAGGCGAGCTGGCGACCGGGCAGGCAGACGAGGGGGGGGGAGGGGGGGGGAGGAGCAGGAGGGAGGAGGGGGCGAGCGTTGGGGGGAGGAGAGAGAGAGAGAGAGAGAGAGGGAGAGAGAGGGAGTGGGGAGGGAGGAAGCACTGCAGGACCGCAGAGAGGCCAGACACACACACACACACACACACACACACACGCGCAGACACACAGACACACAGACACACACACACACACACACACGCGGCGGGGGACGGAGAGGGGTGCCGCCGGGGGCGCAACGTCCCGGGCCGAGGGTCGCCTACTGAGAAAGCTCCGCCAGGCGGCGGGCCGCGTGCCGGAGCGGCCTGTGTGCCCGGCCACGACCAGCGGGATCTGCCACGGGACTAGACGCCCGGGCGCCTCCCGGCCCGGCGGGGCAACGATCCGGCCCATCTTCCGCCGAACGCTTGCCGCCGGGTGCGAGGCCCGGGTGCGAGGCCGAGGCGCCGGACACATATGATCCGTATGCCGCGAGGCCCCCGGCCCGGGGGGAGGCCTTCCGAGACAAAGGCGTGTGTGCGCACGGGCGCGGCGCCGGGAAAAAATCCCAGGCGCCCTGTGTGTCGGCAGGCCGGCGCGGCGGGCCGTTGTCAGTTAGCCGGCGGCCGCGGCGCGGCAGGGGGCCCCGCGCCGGAGGGCTGGCAGCTGGATCGCGCAGTGGCCGCTCCCGCCACCCGGCCGGGCGCGCCGTTTCCCGCAGGAGGAGGGCGGCCTGCCGCGCCCCTGGCAGGGTCTTAACCACACGCACCCCGGTCTACGGCCGAGCCGCCCGGGGGGGGGGGGGGGAGGGCAGCCGGGCGTGAGCGCCTCCCGGCGAGTCCCGCCTCCGCCGCCCGGCCCCCCCGGGCTGGGCCCTTCTGCGGCGCCCGGCCGGCAGGCCGAGAAATAGGCCGGAGGCAGGAATGGGACTACTTTTCCCACGCAGGGTTTCAAACGACCTGCCGCGATGCCGGGTCCCGCGCCCGGGGCCGGGCCGACGAGAGCGAGAGAGAGCGCCCGGCGCGAGGCAGGCGCGCGACCACAGGGAGCCAGGCATGCGGGCGGGCGGGGGGCATTAGCGAGCAGGGAAAGGCCCCCCGGCCGGGGTGCGGGCGTGTACGTGGCCGGACCGGACCGGCTGGCGCCCCTCCAGGCTTAACCACCTCCGGGCGGGCGCGGCCGGCTCGGTGGCCCTGCCGGCGTTCGCCCGGGCCAGGTCCGGGCTTTTGGGGCGCCCGCGCGCGGGGGAGGAGGGGGGACACAAGCGCCGGCATGCTGGTGCGCATGTGAAAGCACCCTGCCTCCGCGGGGGCCGCCAAGGGCCGGGCAGGCTAGACCAAGCCTCCCGCCGGCCGGGGCCCGTCAGAGGACCCTCGCGTGTGCGCGCGCGCGCGCGCGGATCAAGGAGGGGCCCGAGCGGCCGGGCGCCGCTCGGCATTCAAGGCCGGCCCTTCTTTCCGCCCGGGCGTCTACCACATCGGGCAGGGGGCGACCGGCGAGTGACCCGGCGGCCGCAACAGCAACCGGGGCCACGGTGGCAGGCCCCAGCCAAGAATGGCGAGGCAACATGGCAGCAGCCGATAGCGGCACGCCGCCGCTGCCCCGGCGGCGGCGGCGGCGGTGTCGCGCGCGCGCGCGCGAGCCCAGGCGCCGGAGGCAGGCTGGGGACCAGGAAGGCGCGCACGGGGGGGCCGGCGGTATTGGCGCGCAAGGCGGGCGGCTTGGCAGATGGCACGTGCGCGCCGGTCATGCCCGGACCGCGAGACCACGCGCCCGCCGGCCCCTGCGTCCTCCGCGCGATCACGCGCCGCCGCGCCCCTCCCACAAGGACACCCAACCCTCGGCGGAGGGGAGCACAGGCGATGCTAATGGCTGCCCGCGGCCCCGGGGGGCGGTCCCCACGCCGGCAATAACAAGTCCGCCATGCGAAAGGGCTTCGGCCCGGCCGTGCAGCGAACCGCGCAGCCCCGCATCCTTGGGGGGGGGGGGGGGGCTGACGATCGCGCCGGGCCGGCACGTTCGCGCAAAGACAGGAACATGCGCCCGCGCGCCGAGACACTTTCGACGGGTGGAAAAAGAAAAGGAAGAAAAAAGAAACGGCGCGCTCGGGTCCGTGCCGTCCGCGGTCCAGACACCCCCCCCCCCCCCCGCCCGCCCGCCCGCCCCCGCACGCACGCGGGGCGACGGGCCCGGCCGGCCGGCCTGGGGGTCTGAGCACGAAGGGCACGGGGGGCGGGGGGTTCGGGGCGCCCGGGGGAGAAGGGGTTCCCCGGCTCTCGCGGGCCTGGTCTTTCTCGCCGGGCGGGGGGGGGGGGTCGTTGGGTACGCTCGCCTCGGTATGCGAACGAGGTGTTTGTGCGCGCGCGCGCGTGCCCATCGGCACCCACGCCCCGGCGCGCGGCGGCCGGTGTCTGGGGCCCGACACCCGGCGCGGGGGGGGGCGGAGATTCTCTCGGCCCGCGGAAGAGGTCCCCCGCGCGACCGGGCCTTCCGAAAAGGGCGCGGACATGAGATTGTCGAATGGTGGTGTTGTTGTTTTTTGTTTTTTGTTTTCTTTCCCCCTCGCCCCGCCCGGACTGTTCCACTGCGGCTCGGGCGCGGGGCGGTGTCGTGTGCCGCGCCCGTGCGCAAATCTTCCCTTCCGCTCTCTCCCCCCCCCTCACACCCCATCACCGCGCCCGATGTTCAGGCGGCCCTTTGGCTGGTTGACCCGCGGGGGGAGGGCCAAGCATGCTCCCGTCAGCCTCCGCCCCC